AATCGATTGCCGGTGGTTTCGTCCCAACCACCGGATCTTGTATTTCCTTCGAGTTTGCCCCCGAGGGGGTAGCCATCCCCGAAGATGACGGCTGCGGAAGTTCACAAAGAGTCGTGTTATCTCTAAGTGAGGCCTTAACCACGAATGAGGCTTGTTTCTGTCCCTGAACACCTCTAAATGGGCTATGCCCAATCTTTTTTTGCACTCCTAGAACATTTCTGGGCTTTTCCCCTGTTTTGGGCTTCTCCTTTTGTTTTAAATCCTTATGGCCCAAAATCTTTACTACAGTCTCTGATGGGCCTTGAACCAGGCCTTTTAGTGGTGAGATTATCTCCTCCATGCCCATTCCAGGCTCGCCCAAAATCGCCGGAGCCCTAGCAGATCGAATCTCCGCTACCTCCGATTGACTGGCAACCGTCTGCCTTTTTGCTTCATCGACTGAGTTCCATCGATGGGCCTGATTGACAATTAGAGCTTCCTCCGTTGACGCTCTATACCACGAGGCTTGAACAAAACCTTCTGTCAGCGTCTACGCCTCGGGTTTCCCCGTCGGCAGCACTTCGGATGGAGGAGCTGCATTACGTCTCCGAGCTGTTCGATCCGTCCTCCTCGCCGGATAATCCACCGGAGAATCCCCTGTCGGATCCACCCTCGGTCGCTTGCCAAGCGCCTTATCTTCTCCACCCGAAAGACCAGTTTTCCGAGCCCAGGTTTGTGCAGGTGCATCGAAAGGGCTCTGTTCCCTCAGGTCATGAACTGCTAAGGATTCTGCTCCACCAAACAGATTCCGCCGGACCTGTTGCTTCGCCAGAAGCACTAAACTGCCGTCGATCTCCTCCTTCTCTTCTTGGCGATGGTGATGTCTGCGATCCCGAGCAGCGCCTTGAGCTACGCCAACTTGCTCATCCTTGCGCCGCCGATCTCCTTCATAACGCCGAGAGCCTCGAGATTGTCGAGCTAGCGGTCTCTCAGGGCATGAGTGTTTGTCGTGAGTTAGGCGGTAGCATCGCTTGTAGTAGCAGTCCAGTTTCTCATATTTGAAGTGTACCGTGAGAATCTCACCGTTACGGAATTCGAGATCCCGCTCCAACATCAACGGTGCTCCACTCTTAGGACCACCTGCACACGCGGCGGTTGAACCTCGTAGGCCAGAAGCTCACGAAGCTTCTCTCCAATCTCTATCACTCCCTTCTCGTAGCACCGGTACTCTGGAAGTCCATGGATTTGGATCCAGAATGGGTTAGGTTGACGGGAAATCAGCTCGAACCGTCGTAA